GAGCACTCTATTTTTAGAATATACTAAGATAATTTATGTATATGTATTTATGCATATATATGACTGGTTTTGATTTTATCTTTCAGATTAACCTAACCAACTCTGTTCACTTCTTTGCTGTTAATACAAATCTCTTGCGCATCAACAAATCTTACCATTCTTTATGTAAAAATGTAAATTCTACAGACCTAAAAGTTATAATTCACTGGTTAAATGCTAAACTAATATGTTTTAACACCGAAAAACTGAATTAATTTTTTTTTATCTATGAGGAAAAAATATTTCTTTAAAAATACTGAAATCATTGCAAAATTAATAATAAATGGCTATATCCTTCAAGAGTTATAAAATATCTTGAAGTGTTAATTGACTGCAATCTTCCATGTAACTTTCACATTGATTAACTAAGAACGAAATCTTGAGCCAACAGTATGCTTTCAATAATTCGTCATTATGTCGATAAAGTTACACTCAAGAATATTTATTATGCATTCTCATCTCATCTTAGCTATTGTTGTCAATTTTCCAACTTGACTCCAAACTCAGCTCAGATTAATAAACTTCCAACCAGTTAAATCATTACAAACAATCAAATCAATATTCAAAGTCTTTGGAAAAACTCAATATTCTAACATTTCCATTGCTAGTAGAGTATGTTAGCCTTCTATTTGTTTTTAAATCCTTAAATAAAAATTAACCATCTTCTATTACAAAATTATTCACAGAAAGTAGACTAGTACATTCCTACTCTACTAGAAATATATACAATGGAAAACTAAATACCATCTTTTAAAACCCAGAAGTATAGTAAACAAAATAAAAAATATATATATATACATACAGTATCAGACAAAACAAGTGCAACCAAACAATGTTAATTTAGTTTCTTTATATAAATTGCTGCATTTTTTCAATTTAGAGAAATAACTAAGTAAATGCTTAGAGACAACGTTCTTCAGGTTTTATTCATCACAAAGTTCATTATTTGTACACGAAAATTAATAAATTAATCAAAAGTATTAAAAAAAGTTGATTTCCTTCTGTACAAAACAAGTGTAACTCCACAAAATGTTGACCAAGCTGTATTTTGCTATAATTATTTTGTGGCGAATCCTTTGTTGTCGATCACAGCCTTGCATCTTCAAGGCATAGATTCGATTGAGTGATCAATGAAACTTTGTGGAATCGCTGCCCAGGCCTTTTTGGATTTGTTTAAACAGTTGATCCTTATTACGAACACTTTTAAGATTAATTATGCGGTTAACGATATCCCACAGGTTCTCGATAGGGTTGAGATCCGGAGATTGAGGTGGCCAATCCATCACCGATAGGTGGTTGTCTTGAAACCACTGCTTGACTACTTTTGCAGTGTGTTTCGGATCGTTGTCTTGCTGAAAAACCCATTTTATTGGCATATTCCATGAGGTAACATAACATCTTTCAGGATATTTTTATACATGAAACGGTCCATTATTCCATCGATTCGATGGAATAATGGACCGAAAAATAATTTGATGTATTGGACCTAGACCGTTAGCAGAAAAACACCCCCAGACCATTTCATTGCCTCCACCATGCTTCACGGTCTTATGCCAGTAACATAACTTGAGGCGTTTTCTGGCCTATCGAAGTACACAGCAAATGCTATCGCTCCCAATGATGTTGAACTTCGATTCATCACTGAACAGGACAGTTTGTCATTTCTGCACATTCCAGTCAATATGAGATGTAGCAAACAGGAGTCTTTTCTTCTGGTTCTTTAGTGAAATCAATGAAATCTTTGCAGGGCGTTGAGAAAACAATCTAGCTTCAACAGCACGTTGTCTGATTGTTTGGTCCGATACAGGCAGCTCTAATTGCTTTTATATCTTGACTGATCATATCCAGGGATCCTTCTTGACAGATCTGACAATCATAGAATCCTCTCTAAAAGTGGTGGAACGCGGTCTTCCGCCTTTGTTATCTGCTGCCAATTTCCCCATAGAACGATATTTGGAATATAGTCTTGATACGGTCCATTTTTTCATGTGATATTTATCACAAATACTTTTTTGTGACATTCCACTTATGTAATCACCAATAATTTTCTTTCTTAGTTTCAATCCAAGACTGTCGGGAGCCATTTTTGCACTTGAAGTCATAAAAATAATAAAAAGAAATATACAAGCTTCTCAAGGCTTACCGTGTTACATTTACTTCTTGTATTGATGTTCTTCGATAAAACACTTTGATAAAACTCACTTCGATAAACTGTCTTGATAATACTGACTGATTGACTTCCATATACTGACTGAATTACATGTCGGTTTACATGTCTCTTATATAGTAAAATGAACCTGTGTGAACCTGTTCTGGAAGATTCTAGATGCTTCTTTTTGATGCTTCTGAAAGCTTCTGGATGTGTCTGGATGCTTTTGAATGTTTCTGGATACTTCTGGATGCTTCAGGATGTTTCCGGATGCTTCTTCTGGAAACCTCTGGAAGCTTCTGGAAACTTTTAGATACTACCTTTAATTATTAAAAAACTTCCATGACGTTGACACGGACCAGACCTAAGAAAATGAAACAAACCAAAAAAGTAGCACTTGTTTTGTCTTGCTGACAAGTGTTTTGTCTTGTTGACAAGTGCCATTTTGCATTGCTGCAAAATGGCACTTGTCAACAAAATTCTGCCTGTGTGCTGTCACCTGTCAGCTGATTTCTCATGTCATGGCATGTTATGGCTCCAGACTCCTGAACTGTTTGCTGTGGTAGTTTAGTTCGTTTCGTTTTTAAGACATGTAAAATTAGGGACAGGAAGGGAATTAGTTGGATGTTTGTTGCAAATGTTTTGTCCAATACTGTATATATATATATATATATATATATATATATATATATATATATATATATATATATATATATATATATATATATATATATATATATATGTATGTATGTATGTATGTATATATATTTTCAATAAAATTTATATATATAAAATAGAAAAATAAAAGTTTTCAATGATATCACTGCTAATTCTTTATATTTATTATAAATAGTTAGTTGAAGTTTTTTTTTTAATTTTAATAGCATTTTTTTTATTATTATTTTTATTATTATTATTATTATTCTGATTCACTCCCAACCACTATTAAGTTATAAAAATAATAGAGTTATAGAACAAGGAATTGGTTTACAGAAGACTTGAAAAGTTGAAGGTTGTATGTGTCAGGAAAACATGAAGATGGTAGAAAGTTCCAAAGAGTCAAAGTAGGTGGAAAAAAACTAAACTAAAGTTTCTAGAGCATGCAGGGACAGACACAGTCTGTAGTCACAGGCTGTGTCTATTGTCAGACTGTGTCTGTGTCTAGTGACACAGACTAGTGTCACTAGACACTAGTCTGTGTCATTAAAAATGCCAAACATGATAAAGTGAAAATGCCAAACATGATAAAGAGAAGCAACCTTAGATGATAAATTAGCATTCCATTGTATATACAACTTCCATGAAAGTTTAATAGTAAACACTGATCCAAAAAGGAAAGGGTTGACGGTCTCAGTGAGAGGGTTGCCATTCATAAATATAGGAATGTTGACAGTATTGCAATAGTAGTTTGCAGTAAATAACTGAATTTTGTTGGAGTTAAAATTTACAGAACCCTAATCTGTTACAGAAGTGAGATCAGATTCAAGATTGGTTGCCTGTTTTAAGCAATCTAAAAGAGAAGACTTTTTGTCAAGACAGGAGTATAAAGTTAGGTCATCAGCAAGAAGAGCTACTTTAGATGTAAGGTTGTCAGGATGATCATCATTGTAAATAAGAAACAAAACAGGACCAATGATAGAACCATAAGGTACCCCAGAAGTTACCAAAAATAAAGAAGAGAGTTGGCCTTTGAGGATGACTTAAATAAAGCGGTTAGAAAGAAATGATTTGATAATCTCAAAAACTTTCTCAGATATAACATATATAAAACAAGCTTATGGAGAAGACTAGCCTACAAAACTTTCTCAAAAGCCATAGAAATGTTAAGAGTAATAGCCCTAGCCTCTCTGCCTCTATCTAATGCACAATAAAATCTTTCAGTCACAGCAGTTAGCATGTCAGCTGTAAGTTATTTGACTCTAGAAATTTGTTTATCAAAGACTCAAAAACTTTACTAATAACAAAAAGAAGACTGGTTGAATGATAATTGGAGTGGTCATATTTACTTGAATTTTTGGAAATTGGAATAACAGACGCCATTTTCTAGCAGGCAGAAAAACAAGACTCAGTCAAGTAATTATTAAATAATTTAGAGAGAATTACAAGAAGTGGAAATAAAAGAAAAAATTTTTTACTTTGCAATTAGTTCTGCCTTATCTTTGGGAGGTAATAAGATCAGTCCCATGACTGAGAGAATGTTAGACCTACCCTTGTTAAAAGCGCTTAATAGATTTTTGTAACTTCTGTTAAAATGTTTATATAGTTTCTTTTAAAATATATATGTAACTTCTGTTAAAAAATTTATGTAACTTCTGGTAAAATATTGATGTAACTTATGTAAAAATGACTAATGTTAATTGCTAATGCTGCACAAAAGAACATCAGCAAAATCAACTTTAACAATAAAAAGCAGAATTAGCAAGTAAAATGACTTAAGATTAAAATTGGTTTTGATAATCAGGAATGTTTGTAATTGTAATTAGTTTTAACAGTTGAAATCAAATAAGCTCTTCTTGATGTTATTTTAATGACACCTTTAGCTTTCACATTTCGCTTTTGCATTTAGCTTTCACATTTCGCTTTCATTGAACACAGAAGGTTTAGTTGTAAAGTATTTTAATAATTTTAATAATTTAAAGTTTTAAACTTAAAAGAAAATTTTAAATTTAAATGTAGTAGTATGTATAATTAAATTTTAGTTTTTAATAATCATCAAAAATATTTTTAAATTATTAAGTACTATTCAATTTATTGTTAAATCATATTTAAAATATTATTTAATTTATTTATAATTCAAAATATCATATTATAGGTTTTGAGTTTCTTGTTTGGTTCCTTTGTCTATGAGTTAATAAATCTACAAAAACCTTTTGGTAACTGTGTCAATAGAAAGCTTGTTAATAAGTTCATATTAGAGGGGAAACGTCCAAAATTATCGCTTATGGTAAGGGTATTCTTGTTTTCACATCAGTTCTTGTGCCTGCATATATGCTTTAGCTTTGATTAGTTTTTGATTGTTTTTGTATAAGATTACTAAAGCAAACTTTATACCATTAGTATTGCTTGTTGATTATGACTGTATTTTTTGCTTTAAACATAAATAATCATAATATTCTTTTTAAACAATTTATTGCAATTCAGGCTAGACAATATCCAATTCCTATATTATCATTGCTCCATCGATGTTGGACATTTAATTATAATGATAGACCAACTACTTTAGAAATTAAAGGTCTTGTGAATTTGGATGAACTAACATCGCTCTTAGATGTTTTAGGTAAGATTAAATTTTGTGGATAAAGTGATGCTAATAATGATGATGATGATAATGATGATGATCTCTTTTATATTATTTATGCAAGATAACAGGGTTGATATTAGGCCAGATATTCATAAATGTTTATATATATAGGTAGTTATATAATGATGATGATGATGTTGATGATGATGATGATGATGATCTCTTTTATATTATTTATACAAGATAACAGGGCTGATATTAGGCCAGATCTGCATATTTATATATATGTGTATATATATATATATATATATATATATATATATATATATATATATATATATATATATATATATATATATATATATATATAAATATATATATATATATATATATATATATATAAATATATATATATATATATATATATATATATATATATATATATATATATATATATATATATATATATATATATATATATATATATATATATATATTAGGGATATTCAAAATGTATATAATAGCACAGAATATCAGGACCAAAACATTTTTAGTAGATATCATTCTTGTGATGACTAGTGTGAATTTTTTTTTTTTTAACACAATTTAAGCAAAACCAAAAATGCAATGTTTTCATCATACAAAAGTTGTTGCCTTAAGTTGGAAAGTTTCAAAAAGAAGTAAGGAAGCATACAGTACATTCTGCAAGGTTCTAAACAGATTTCTAAATTACTGAATGTTTGAATTACTTTAAATATTGTAAAAAGTTTCAAATTATTTAAGAATATTCAAAATATTCAGATCTATTTAAGAGTATTGTGGATGATCAAGAACATTCTGGAACCCATATTTTCCAAAACATTTTCAAGAATATTCTGCCATGTTACTATGTTTTGGATTCTTAAATACATTCCAAAAATAAATCTCAAAATCGAATAAAAAAACAAGAAGAATCCAAAGAAAAGAAAGTTATGCTCTGTGACTTCTCTGCTGCTAATGCCATTGAAACAATTTAAAGGATTAAATTTGATTAAACTTGCCTCAAGAAAAGAAGATATTGAATTTTAACAAAATCAAAAATCATTAGATTGAAGGAACTTGCTAGCAGGAACTGCCAAGAAGTATTTACAGATTATGCACAGATAAATAATAAGAAATGACAAATCAAATCAAAAGCAAGAGTTTAAATTAGATGTTTCGTTATGAAATTCAAGTTATAAGAGAACTTATTTTATTATCTTCCAACTTCCTTATTGTCCCAAACAAGGAAATCTTGATTATTCAAACAAGGAAATCTAAAATGATTTCTTTAGCTATTTCAAGAAGCATTTTTGATGACCTTAAAGTTTAAATTAAACAAAATTAGGGAGAGATTCTCCCACCAGAATTTTCAGTTATTCACTGGAATGATAAAATTATTGAAATTTCAGTATTTTGAAGGAAAACCTTTTACCAGACTCGCTGTTTTTGTTCAAGAAAACATTCCAAACTGTCTACAAAAACAAATTTATTGAATTTAAAACTTGAAATCAGGAACAGCTGACCCACAAACAAATAAATGCATTTATCTTTAGCAATTGTTGAATGTTAAAAAAATACTTATTGACACTTGTTGAAATACCACAACAAACAACACTGAATACTCCAGTTGCCATAGAATGCACAAATAGTGGCAATGTACCAAACAAAGACTTAAATCTGGTTTAAGATCTCGCAGTTTTTAAGAACTATATTGACAAAAAGGTGCATGAAGGAGCTTTGACTTTAATCACAAAGTATGTCTGGTACCTTACTAGAGAAATTATGCCACTGGCACTCTTATCTTTTAAAACACCATTAAAGACAAAATCTTCCAAAATCTTTTGAAAAAAACTAACTTTTAACATTCAACCTAAAAAGCCTGTCATGCCTGGACTACCAAGAGCATTAATGCAAACAAAAATAAAATTTGACTTTCTTTATTTCAATGGTGAATTAAACCCTTTTCATGCTTCTGCAAAATATTTTTTTTTTTTAATTGTTCTATGTGCAAGTAATCATTGTAGATAGAGTAATAGCAATAATTACAAATTATGCAAAGATTATAACATCATAACAATTAAAACCAATAGTTCATGTTTTAGCTTGTAGAACAATACCCAGCTTTGTGTAGTGATTTCAAGCAAGAAACATATAAGCAATGAACCACTTAAATCTGAACAATGTACAAGCAACCACTTAAATTCCAACAAAGATACACACACACATGTTTATATATACACACATATATATATACATAATTTAAATAATATATTCTAATTAAATTATATTATAAACATTAACATTTAGCTTATTCCTGGAAGTGCGGGTAACAGCAACATATATATTTTATAGCTCTAGTTTGTCTCTTAAGCACTCTTTTAAATATACAATATTATATATGGTAATATAAAGATATTTTCTTTATTCATACATATACACTTATGTGTGTGTGTGTATATATATATATATATATATATATATATATATATATATATATATATATATATATATATATATATATATATATATATATATATATATATATATATATATATATATATATAGATAGATAGATATATAGATATATATATATATATATATATATATATATATATATATATATATATATATATATATATATATATATATATATATATATATATATATATATATATATATATATATATATATAGATAGATAGATAGATATATAGATAGATAGATATATAGATAGATAGATATATAGATATATAGATAGATAGATATATAGATATATATATTATTTCATTTCTGATGAGTCTTTGTTGATGAAACACTGTGTAAAATGAAAAAAAAAATTTTGTTAAGTGATTTTCTACTAATTTATATATATATATATATATATATATATATATATATATATATATATATATATATATATATATATATATATATATATATATATATATATATATATATATATATATATATATATGTATATATATATATATATATATATATATATATATATATATATATATATATATATATATATATATACATATATATATATATATATATACATATATATATATGTATATATATATATATGTATATATATATATATATATATATATATATATATATTTAAAATTTTATCCCAAATTTTGACTGAAAAAACCTTGAAATCATTTAAATTATTGCATTTGGTATTTTTTTAGTTTTTTCAACATGTAACATTTTGCAAAGAAATCCAATGGGTTCAAATCTGGACTGCTGGCAGGCCATTCAGACACTGGAATGAAACAAGGGAAATATTTCTCATATCATACTTGAAGGATTTTGCTTTATGTGTTGCGGCTGAATTTTGCTGAAAAGTATATGGGCAATCACCAAATATTTCATCTGCATGAGGTTTCACATTAACCTCTTTGAAAATTCATATAAGAAAGTTTTCCTTGCTTGGAGAATGTATCAAAAAACCATAGCTTCTGATGCTCTTGCAAACTCCATAAACTCGTTTTATTTGTTAGGGTGCTCAAACATTAATAATTTTTCATCAGAAAAAAATAATGGTGCGCCACCATGCTGTTTCTTTATCATTTTGCATTTCTTAATGTGTTCAAGCTTATTTCTGTTTGTCAGACCAAAGCAGATGTTTTTTAAAAGCAGATAATTGTTTTTTATAAGCTTTTTTGTAAAATAATCAAATTTCTGATGGTTTTGGAATCGTTTCAAAATTTTTTTGCAATCCTCCTGATCAAATATTTTTCCTGGTTTTGTTCAATTCTTTCACAAATAACCTTTATGAATTTTTTTAGTACAAAACACTTTTTTTCCCCTGTTCTTTATGAAATGTCAAGAGCGATAGCCTTAACCTCTTCACCATTTAATACATGATAAAACCTATCGGTTATTACCATTAACAAATCAGCAGTAGAACAAGAAGATCGAAATCCATATTGATTAACAAAAAGTCGGTTATTAGATTTAAGATAAGAAATTAAGTGTTAAAGACTCAAAATCCTTTCTTATGATAGTAAGAAGACTAATAGGACGATAGACAAGCTATATCGTTCTCCAGAATTTTTGAAAATCGCGATAACAGATGCAGCCCTCCAGTAGGCTGGAAAACAAGACTCTGATAAGCACTTGTTAAATAGTTTTGAAAGTATAGACAACAGCTCTGAGGAACACTTCTGAAAAACTAGCTATAGAAGAATCTAAGCTGGAAATCACTTTAGATACAGAATCTGGAGTTATACAAATGTCAGGCAATGTGTTAAATTGTTTGTCAGCTATATCAGGTAGAACGTGACTAGTAGAATCAAGAGATGATATTGATGAGAAGTTTTTAGCAAACAATCTAGCTTTGTCTTTAGGTGTCTTTAGATGACAAAATCTGAACCATACAAGACACAGTTCACAAATATAGGTTTTAGGTATAAAATGATATGACCCCAGAAGTTTCAATGGATTTAGGTTACTAATATCATATGTTTTAAGGATCAATTTTTAAAAAAATCTTATGAGTGGCTCTTTTTGAGAAAATTCAATTTTGAAATTTGCCAAAATTTCAAATTTTTTTAAGATTTTTAATTGTTTTGTTTCTTTAAATAGTATTTAAATCAAAAGTATGGCTGATAATACAATGTTTATTAGTTTTTATATTACATAGTTAAAAAAATATTGTTGGGAATTTCGGACAAAAAATCTTTTATTAACATATAACTTTGATAAGGTTCTTTGATTACAGGTTTGCATTACTAAACACCTCTGCAATTCTCTTAGTTCTTATCAGATGTTTTTTGCTCATTTGGAAAACATTGAACCTGTTAAGGACAGGTTCAATGTTTTCCTTTTAATGGCTTCATTTTAGCATGAGCTGTTTCAGAAGCCTGCTCTGCATATCTTCCAAGAGAATGGCCAGATCTGGAGACAAAGTGTGCTGTAATAGCATGTACTTTCCAAGTGACAGTCACTTCCTTTTTAAGATACTATAATAAAATATCAATAAAATATTTTTAAATAATGCTG